TATATATATATATATATATATATATATATATATATATATATATATATATACTCGAGAAATATTGAGTTGATTAATTTAAATTTATGTCGTTTAAGACTTTTGGTATGATTTTTTAATCAGAATTTTTTAATTTTTAAAATTTGAATCGGATCTTTAATTAATAATAGAGAAGATTGTGTAGTGGTCGTTTTGGTTCGATTTTGAAGTATATTTGTTCGGTTTGTTGGTTATTGATTTGTGGACATGCTAAATCGTTATATAAACAGTAAGATATTGATTTGTCCGTTAATGATTGTTATCAATTTAACCGTTAAGATTTGATATAAAAAAATCATTGAAAAACACTTAGAAATAAGGTGACAAATCAAATAAACATACACGTGAGTTGACAAATTGCAGTTTGGTCAAAAGCAAACATTGTCACATTGTAGAAAATCGAGAGTTTGAAACCGTCAGAAATAAAAGTAATAAACTCTAAGTTAAAAATTTTATACACCAAATAATATAAATATAATTATTTAATTTGCTATCGAGTTATTGAACAATCCATAAACCTCAACATACTAAAAGTCAATAACTCAATAACAATAACAAATAGAATCATAATCATAACCAAAAAACTATTAAACTAATAAATAATTATCAATAAATCAATAACTTTTATTTCAATTCAAATTATTAATTTCGATTCAATTCGATTCGATGGAGGCTTTCATTCCACATCTCCACAAAAACTACTGTTAGGATAGAAAAGTTTGAAATTGCTTAGTACAATTTAAACTAGACACCTATAGTTGTTGTTAGCCACAACTTTTTGAAAATGTTGCATGTTTGTCTATAATAAATAATAAATAAATGTATCTAGTTGTTAGATTGATTAAAAGCACATTCATGGACAAAGACAATTCTATAAAAAAAAAAACAGTTGGAGAATTGGTCCAATATAAATTTTAGGTTTACAACAACTTTGTTTTGTTACCTTGATTAGGGTTAATATCTCCCATGTGTTAATACATGTTCTTCTTTGCTTAGCTAATCATATTATTTTGATTTTTTTATGGGGGAAAAGGGAGCGAGTGTCACGAATAATTTCATATGTTATATATGTCACACGTTTATGTATGTATATATGTTATTAACTTTGTTTGCTATGTATTGTTTTGATATGAATTACTATTGTGTTGAGAGACTGAAAGAATTTTTCTACTTCTATAAAAAAAAACGTAAAAATAAATTGTGTATTATATATTCAGATTCTATTAAAATTAGACTGAATATATTAATGTTGTCTAACCAGAATAAAACGTATTTATCGAAATGATTGAAGAGAATAGGAAAATGTACAAATTAGCTAAGAGAACATTTTACATTTTTCACATGTTTAAAAAGGAGTTTGAGTTACAAAGAAAGAGGGTGGAAAGAGAGAGACTTTGTATTTATATTAATTATAATAAAATTTTCACACCAAATCTTAAAGTAAAAGTCTACAATTGAGATTCATGTACCTATGCTAAAAATTAGAATTTTATCTCACATTACGAAAATTACTAGTTGATTAATTGGAATTGACTCTCATACAAATATCTTGGGACAAATAGCAAAAAATATTAAAGATTAAGATGACAATTAATTAATATCATTCCAAATTAAAAGGAATTTGTTTTTTTCTAAAATATTTGCGGCTTGGTGGGGTTTAATATTTTCATTTCTATTTTACCAAGTAGGATTAGGACAAGAACATGATAAGGACAAAATGGCAAAAAAGTTAAAATTGACTACATCTATTTTTTTTTCCTATAAAAGAATTTAAGTTCTACATATCAATGTTGTTTTAAAAATATATTCACATCATTAGGTTAATTTAAAGTAATTACAAGTAACTTTATTTCTTATCTTTGATTAGAAATATACATCAAAGAATGAATGATTCACTATTAATGTACTTAGGTATATAATTTAAATCCTTTTAAAAATATTAACCCTTAATATATATTTTTCTTGTTGTGCTTTAGATATTTAAAACTTACTAATTCGATTTGTGTCGATTAAACAGATTAAGAGGAAAAAGGAGAGTATGAAGACAAAATGTAAATTCAAAATTTTCTAATTAAAAATAAAAAGATTTCAATATATTTTTTTAGGCACCCTGTAATAGTTATAATAATTAATATAAAAATTAGCTTATGGTTCAATCATTCATGATGGTGACTTATATTTAGTAGCAACACCTAAATAAAGGTTTGATAAGTAGGGCTTATATTTTTAGTTTTTGAAATTTTTGGCCTAGAATTATTCTTAAATTTCAAAGGCAAACAAACTTTTATATCTCTATGACAATTTATTCGGTTTTGTTTTAAATCTTTTATCGTATTTTTATTTTATATAGTATGACATTAGAAATTCTTTTCAATAGTAATTTGTTTTATTTATGTCATAAGATTTATTTTATTTTAAAAATATTTACTCTCTAGATATCTATAGTCTTTAAGAATAGTTAATTACCACTAAAATTGACGAATAATTTGATATTTCTATTTTAAAAAGATTACGATAACTAATTTTGTGAAGGGGGAGTATAATAAAATACAAGCAAAGGCTAAAATTGTTTGTATTGCAAATGGGATGACAAAAATGATTGTTTTGCAAGAAAAAAAGGAGTACCGAGCAACTCTGTATCCAGAAATTCGAACTCCAGATCTCTAATTAAAAATGAAAAAGCATTTATCAAATCGTCAGATTCTTTGTGGATAGTGGTTTATAAGTTTAATTAATTCAAGAGTGTGATGATTTTTTAGTTGGCCCAATTTTGTTCGCATTTTCCTTCAAACCAATCAATGCACAAGTGCAAGTGGTTGGCCCAATTTTGGAATAATTATTTTGTAAATAAATCTTTTTTCTTTTTCTTCTTGCAACTTTTGAAATTTTTTAGATCACAGTCTATAAAGGCTTTTTTTAAGAAAAAAATCTAATAAGAAAATACTAGACTTTAGAGCACGACTAAAATTTTGTTAGTTATTACAAAATGTCAAATAATAGTTTAATATTTTATTTATAAAATTGAACAATATATAAGTAATCATTAGACCAAAAAATATTCGAAAGAATAATTTATAATTTTGCTTAAAATGGTACTTTCTTCTATTCAAATTTATGTGACACCTTTTATGTTTTGAGAGTCAAATTATTTAAATTTGACCGAGAATTTGTGCACAAAATCTTCAATTATTTTGCAATAAAATTTATATACTTGTAAACTACGTAAAAAGTATTATAAGTCACAACAATTGATAATTAAAAAGTTTAAAGATCTATAAAAAACTTACGGTAAAAAATAAACTTGTTTAAATGTCAAAATTCAAAACGTTTCACATAAAATGAGACGAAGAGAGTACTTTTTTTTTAAAAAAAAACGTTTACTCCACAATTTTGCTATCATTTAAGTCGAGACAATTTTTTTATTCAATCTCTAAGTGAATAATATATTCTTATATTATAATTTAATTTTTAATTTTTAAATTATTCTCACATAAATTAAATTAAGACCAACAAAATAATAATAATAATGATAATAGGTCGACTACAAATAATATATACATTTCTTTTGACTTCTCTTTGCCGACAAATAATCATATACGTAAACGCGTAAGATTTGATCATTGCAACTTTTGAATATATAGGCATATAGCTATCTTTTTATTTTTGCCTTTTGTTCTTGTTTTCGAAGAGGAACCGTGGCGAATTTAAAATTTTTAGAATATAAATATATTATTAAATAAAGAAGGAAAAAATGTATTTAGTGGAAATTTATCTTTGGTCCTCTAAATTGATAATTCAAATTTCACGAGTGTGTCAAATTTCACGAGTGTGTCTATATATATCTAGTCCAAAAAAAAAATCAATACATATTATTATTCATCTAACATAAATATCAGAAAACTTTGTTCATCAAAATTAAATGGATACAAATGGTTTTAAAATATATTTGTAGGTTTTACGTTCTCCTTCAATAGCTAGAGTATGTAAATTCTAACAATTAGGGGAAATAAACATATTTTATACAATCATTTCTTTTAAGCAATTTCTATTACTACTACTTAAGTAGTTTGCTTTTTAATAAAATTGTAGTGTTGTTTATGTGTTAATTTCAATGAAAACAGAGGATGCGCTAAAAAAAAAACTTAATATATATAAATATAAAATTCGAACTAAAGTTATTAAATTATGCCGTATCCAATAACGAGTTTGTAGCATTGTTTATGTTTAAAAAACTTAATATATATAAATATAAAATTTGAACTAAAGTTATAGAATTATGTCGTATTCAGCAATGAATTTGTAACATCGTCTATGTTTAAAAGGAAAAAATAAAATAAAAAGAATGATACTGAAGCTGATAAGAGATGGTCCTACGGGTTAGAAATCATACATCTTTGACATTTTTAATTTGATTTAACTAATACATCAATAATACAAATTGTTTTCTTACCACAAATAGATACAATTTAATTAACTTATTATAACACGTAATATATCTTATTCATATATATAAGTTGAATAAATACGTTTAAAATCAAAATAAAAAAAGAAGATAGTCAAAATAAGTAATCAATCGAGATTATGATACCATATGTACATGAAAGCTCACAAGGAGATGTCATTTACGATAAATAAAATTATGAATTTTATTGTTAATTCATCACTAAATCATACTATATAGCTAATGATTTTTTAAAATAGTCTTCACTAAGTCATTATTAAATAGAATTAATATCGAATTAGTTATAACATTAGTCCATCGTAAAGTAAACACAAGTGACCCATGAGAACCCCCAAAATGAGTTCATACATGCATGCATAGTTGTAGAGAGAGAAAATATTTATAATGATTGTTAAAATCAACCTAATAAAATCATGATTTATTTTATTTATTTATATTTAAATGGATTAGCAATTTATTTATTTTATTAATTGAGTTCATATTTATTAATTTAATTTAATTCATTTACAAATTGAATCGATATTACAATTCAGACTGAGGCATTTGGTATTTTTACTAAAATATTTTTTTATTTGACATATTTTCTTAAAAAGAAGAACATCAAAGAGTTTTTGTCCTTTTATTAAAATCCAATTTGATCGAAAAATTGGTCTAATTATTCCCAATTTTCTATTTCTCTCTTTCAAACTTTGTAGCAAGTTGAAGAGAAGTAAAAGGATGGCCATGAAAAGAAAGTTGAGCTAACGTAACCAAGTCCATTTTTATTGTACATATATCTTCGAGAAACGATTTAGGTTTATCCACTGATAATATAATATAGTTTAATAATAATTTATTCATATCGAAAATTTATATTAACTTGTAATTAAAACTTTTAAGGTGAGGATATACATGTTTTATATATAATTAATAATGACTTAGTGATAAGGCTTTTTGGGAAAACTTATATCATATATTCATTCGATTATGTTAAACTCAATACTTATAAGTTTTTATCCAATTTTATCTCTATGTTATTATGAATATTGTTTTGGATATATCTTTAAATACGATAATGAGTGAAAGTGATTATCGATATTTTAACAAATAAAAAACACTATTCCTTTTCCTATGCATTTAATGACATTTGTATTTTTTTTTATCTATTTTAATTTCTTTATATAGAGAGACAAAAAGAAATAAGTAGTTCTTATTGATAAGAAAATGAAAGAAAAATATATAGAAGAAAGAAAAAACCATTCTAGCAACATTGATATGTTCGCTAAACTTCATCAAACCCAAAATTTCCAGCTCCACCACCAATTGACAGTACCCACCGCAGCGCTGCCGTCCTCCTCCGCCAACGATGGCGCTACCATTGAAGTCATCCGCCGTTCACGTGGCCGTCCACCCGGCTCGAAAAACAAATCCAAATCCAAACTCAAACCCAGTTTCATCATAGCAACACGTGATGGTCACGTGGAAAAACCCACTATGAGTCCTTACATCCTCGAAATTCCCATCGGGATTGATATTATCGATTCGATCTATCGATTTTGCGGGAATCAAAATTTGGGTCTATGTATTCTAAACGGGTCGGGTACTGTTACTAATGTTACACTTAAACAGCCTTCAATTAACCCATCTGATTCTACAATTACCTTCCATGGAAGCTTCACTATTCTTTCGATTTCAGCTACAATTATACCGAGTGATTTTTCTCCGATTCCGAACGGGTTCAGTATTTCATTAGCCGGTCCACAAGGTCAAGTTGTTGGTGGACCGGTAATTGGACCGCTTTTTTCAGCTGGACCGGTTTATTTAATTGCAACGACGTTTAATAATCCTTTTTATCACAAATTTCCGGCGGAGGACGACGGCGAGGGCGGTCAGTCGCCGGATTCCGGCGCCGGAGATAGTGGGCAGCCACCGGAATCAAATCAGCGTGAGTATTGTTATAGTTCTAATCAGTTGCCATCGGATGTGATATGGGCACCTACCCCTAGACAACTACTGCCTTACTAAAAATCGTATTCAAAATATGAAATTTACGGATTTAGATTTAAAATTTATTTTGTGTTTTTGTGAGTTTAAAATATATGTTTTATTCTTATTTAGATTTATTTTATCATATATTGAATTTGAATCAACGTTACTTTTATAATTGTGAAAAAAAGTTAGTTTTTTATGTTTGATTAATATAATTAGCCTTGAAATTTCATTGAGTTTAAGCTATCTTATTTTATTTTTAGTATGTTAATTTATATTTATGGATTTATTTTATAATTAAGTTTTATTATCGAAGATAATAAACTTCAATAATTCTTTTACTTTTAAATTTTATCTATGATGCAAAAATAAAGTTAACACATAAATTGAAACAGATAAAATATTATTCTATTCAGTTCCATAAATGTTATTTAGGTTAATGCAGTTTGGTACGAGGATGAAATAGAAAATGATAGCTAATTTCAAAATTTTAGTATAAATAACAAGATCAAATAATCTAACAATCAATTAATATTCATATTCAAACGTCAAAATAAAATAATTTTTAGATTATTATTTTTATCTCATATAGTATATAGGAGTATATATTTTAGTTGATATCTAATATGACATTTTAGTTCAACTAATTTAATTTCACATTATAAAAAGCTTATTCAGAAAAATACTTTTTACTAGTGATAAATTTTAATATTAATAATTCAAAATTTGAAATTTTTGATTGAATCGGAATATATCTATCCACCGCACTATATACATCGATGCTGATTGGTGAAGAAATTTAGTTTCTCTTTGAGACATTTACTTTGAAACTACAACAGCATCAGTAGCAAGTGGCTGAAGATAATGCTGACTTTTCACTTTCATGGATGGATTCTTCTTATATTGGTTGCCTAACTAAGTTGGCTCTTTGTCAAATGCATATATAGTGCATTGGATTGAGAAATATGAGTTAGAGGTTCGATAGTCGGGTGTAATTTTATAAGTGAAATTTCAGTATTATATAAATAAATTCTATTTATGTTTTAATGAGATAGAAAAACTATTATAAATAGAGTTTCAGTTACTAAATCTAATCGTTGATGAAAAATAAGCTAGCAGGGGCGGACCCACATGGTGTCTGCTGGGTGCTCGAGCACCCATTAACTTCGTTACGGAATATATATATCTATGTAAAAATTGATAGGTATTTGTATAAAATCAACATAGAGCACTCAATGAATAAATGATGTAGCTGGTCTAATAGCTCTTGGATGGATACTTAAGACTTTTTTAGTGTTGTTGTACCAAGGTTCGAATCTCACTGTTAACACATATTTTTTATATTTTCACTTTAGAGCACCCACTGTAAGCTAGTATACAAGTTTTTTTCAATTCAAAGTGAAAAAATGATATTTAAAAATTGACTAATCAACAAAAATACATCCGTCTAAAAGAACTTAGTTATTTTATTTATTTTTTTAAAAAAATAATAAAGACCATCATATGGTAAGATTTTTAATTGACAATTTTACCATAGTTCAAATATAATTCTAATGTTTTATTCCAAAAAGATTTTAAAATATAGAAATATATCCAATTAATACTGTTCCATTGGCTGCTGAATCCTTAGTTGATTTCCTTCTTTTTAGCAAGGCCTATAGTATTATTACCTTCGACCTAAATTTAATATTATATTATATACGTGATCTTTATAGTTAACTTTTAATGATATGCGAATTATAAATCTACTTAAAATAATTCATTTAATTGGCTTTTTATTTTTTATTATAAAAAAATGAAATTACATATTAATATACTATTTTTTCAGACTCCATTTGTAATTACATATTAATATACTATTTTTTCAGACTCCATTTGTAATATTATATTTGATTTTGCATGTTATTACTTTTAACTACAACATTTTTCTACTTTCTTAAATTAAAGTGTTAAGTTAGAGAAGAACAAACAAATTAAAAGGGAAAAAATAATTAAAGAGTTTGTATTTATCATTCAAAGACTTTTCACCACTATTAAGGGAGAATTGTGCAATTTGGTGGGTGAGAAAGCAACCAACTTGTGTAGTGCACATATTGGTGCTTTCTCTTCCTTTATTACTATTTCGGTCCGCTTTTAATTGTTATATGATTTTTCATTTTTAGAGTTATATCATATGAATTTTGATTGATATTTTATGATGTAATTTTTTATCATATTGATATGTAAAAAAGTTACGAATTATAATACTTTTTGTATAGTTTTTGAATATTTAAATTTTTTTCTTTAAGATATCAAATTAATGTATTCTAATAACTTAAAAGATCAGTCAAATTAACTTTTGAAAAACGCAATAAGACAATTAAAAATGGACGGATAACATATCATCATTTTGATGCAACTTTGCCTCTTTCCTTGACCTACTTCTATATGTCCCATTTGCTGTTCGGCAACTCATAAAAAAGGGTAAAATAGTCATATTTTTGGGTATTTATAAAAAAATGTTAAAAGATTGTATGAAAAGTTATATTTGGGGGAAATTCAATGAAATTATTCCTAATATATGTATGTGAAATCAGAATATATCAGAACTGATACGAGTTGGACCAATCTGCGAATCGAGCGAGCTCCCCTTACATGCAATGATATGATCATTCTAATTCAATGCTCTCCGAACCGTGCGGGAAGGTTTCCCATAAGTAAAGTTAAAAAACCTTATAATCGCAATATATTTTGTAGATTTTTATAATATTTAATTATTTGATTTATGGGCCAAAATTATCATTAAAAAAAGTCTTATATTGATTGTATATAAATTTTCGTTGGTTATCCACTTATTTTTGATAGTTGTTTAGTAAATAAACCTATTTGTTTTTTGTGCAATTTATGAATTTTTTGAACTACAACCGATAAATTTCTGCTAAGTGTTTATAAGAAATATTAGATCATGATCTAAAATTTTATAAATCGATAATAGTCTAATATTTATGAGTCATAAAGGCTAAATTTATCCAAATTCTAAGAACACTAACAAAAAATATTAACTTAAAGAAAAAAAAAAGGATTTTCGTAAATCAATTGCAACTTGCTTGTAGGGAATTATTATAGTTTAGTTGATTATCTAAACTTTCACCCTGTTGATGAGGGTTCAATTTTCTGCCTTGTAATCCCCTTCTCTGTATCCAAATTTTTAAGTAGAGATTATGCAGATAAACAAACATATACTATTTAATTACTTAACGTAACTACAATTTGTATTAATTAACATTCTCGACTAACCTTAAACTATATTTACATATCTCCTCTCGCCCCTCTCCTCTCTCTGAAATCTCACTCATCTCTCTCCTCTTGTTTTAGTCATCTCTCCTCTCCCTGCCCATTCTTTCTCTCGCTTCTTTATGTCCAGCATCTCTTGCTTATACAAACACAATTACACAAATACAAATGTTAACAATCATTTATACAAACACAATGATAGCAAAAACATTATACAAAGTGTCAACTATACAAATCTCTTTACAAATACAAATACAAATTATGTGTCAAAGTATAAAGATCTCTTTAGTAATACAAAGACAGACACATGTATTCGTTGATTATAGTATTAATACAAATGATGATGATAAATTATACATATACAATACAAATTGATATAATTATATACAATTTATTCATTGATACAAATTATATCTCCTTAATACTATTATATTCGTTGATTCATATACATACTAATTATATCTACACTACACAATTATGCAGTTATATAAATACAATCATTGATATATATGTTTACCGGTTATATATATTTAATTATCTGATAGATTTATAAATACAATTCACCTCTCTCCACTCTCTGCCCTCTCTCGCTCGCCTCTCTCCTCCCTTTCCCAATCTTGCTCGTCTCTCTCCTTCCTTTCCCAATCTTGCTCTTCTTTCTCCTATTTCTAATATGTAGATATAAATCGTGATTAGCAAACTATAGCTATAAAACCAAATTAAATTTATTTTAGTGGCTATTTTCATTTAAAAAGAAGAAGTAAATCTATTGCTTGTATGGGCTCAACTTTGTTTGAACTACTTGGGCCCTTCTCATTCTTCTTTATGCTAATATATATGGGAAATTTTTCAAATTGTCAATATTTTAGCATTTAAGAGGGCTCATTAGCAACACTTTTAATATTTAGTAAAAATGTCAAATTTTAGTTTGTTATGTATCTTATTTATGTTTTTATTATTTATTTTTATTTAAAGAGTATAATTATTTAATAACAAAAGGGAGAGAATATTTCAAAAAAAGTAAGGATCCTTAATTTTCTCCTCAGTTACATTTTCAAATAAAATTCAAATTATTCTTTTTTTTTCTCCAGAATTTTTACCTTTTTAAAATTATATTAATTTCACAATATATTCTATTTATATTTATTATAG